ATCTACCTTTGTTTCCATTAAGTAGACGAAATCGGGCTTCTTACGGGACACCATGTCCACCACTTCACGAACTGTCTGTGGATTGCCCAAGCCACGACAGTTCCAGCTTATTATACTCATTGAGATGGGCGGGCCTGACCACCAGGACCCGCCGTAAATCCCTTCGTTTTAGCGGCTTTTCCACCGGTATTGACACACGGACTCGGTGAAACGTCTTCCATGGTGCTCCCGGATAACGATCATCAACTTTTACAAACATACCAATAAAATTGGCCGCTTGTTCAAGAACCGCTTCCGATGTATATCCCAGCGGTAAGTCATAAAGCTGCACCCACATATCCACCGATTTCAACTCAACCGTAGCCGGCCTTGCACCCGGTTCCACCTGTTTACAAACCAGGGTGTTATTTTCAAAAGACCACGGCCCTTCATCGAGGACCCTCCGCATATCCGTTTCATCATAAAAGATGAACATAAACAACCCCGGATGAATCTCCGTAGCATGCATGCCCCACACTGGTTGCCAAACCGAGGCCATCACTTGCCGCATATACTCCAACTTCACCACCTTCGTTGTCTAGAATCTGCCAACACACACCCACGGTTGTTCCTCCTCCTCCGCCACCACCCCGACGCCCTCCCCCACCGGCTCAAAGCCGATTTCCTCCTCCTCCTCAAGCGCTATATCACCCCAACGCTGCGTTAGACGTTCGATAACCTCATCCGCTCGTTCGAGGATCGGTGGCTCCTCGTCAACCCCATGCACCACCGGATCCGTCGCCGCAGTATTCATCCGTTCGTCACGCACCGCCTCTGCCATAGTTCGTCGCTGTCGGACGTAATCCAGCCGCAAGAATCGGTCGTGATGCCTCTGCTGTATTCCGTTGCCTGTCGAACGTAAATTGCAGCAAGAATCAACCGTGATTCAATCAAGAAGAGCAAGAAACGCCGGAAACCCTAGGAGAAACCCTAGTAAAGAGGCAAAACCCTAGAGAGAAATTCTAGAGAGATATTTTCATTCTAGGAAACGTAGTAATACACTTGATCATATATTTAACTATGAATATTGTGATATGGAATAAATAATTATTCAACATTTCAACTACAATAATGGATATTGCATCATTGTACCGATCTTGAATTAATATAAGGAGGCCTCTTACTAGGTAACATCAGCAATTATACCATAGACTTGGGTCCACCTTGTAAGGTAAGTTCGAGTAAAAAATACACAATTTACATAAATTGTAAGCATTCAGTATGTAAGTTGTAAACATTTAATATGTAAATTGTGTATTTTTGGACCCAGACAGGGACAGAGCACCCCACCCCATATACAACATTTGTATGTATATATGTATATATAGTATAAATTTTAGTATTAGTATAAAAAAAATTGTTGAATGTCAATAAGAAATGAGTTAGATTAGTTGGCAAAGCACATTTTTTGAGTTTTTTGCACTTTTAGTCCCACGACTATAGTGGCACTGGCAGAATTGATCCACGACTTTTGAACCTTGCAATTTTAGTCCACGACTATTGATTTTTTTTTTTTGCAAAAATGGTCCTTCCGGCCACTTTTCCGTCAAAATTTCAGCGGAAAAAAAAAATTCTCCATTTTTAGCCGGGTTAAAATTGACATTTTACTTATCTCAAAAAATTAAAAGAAAAAAATTGATATTTGGTTACAAACAATATTACTGGGCTACATACTACTGCCCCAGGCGGCGGAGTTCCTGGAGCAGGCAGGGCTGTCAGTAAGCGTCGGAGCGGCCGTGGCGTTCCCCAGGCTCCGGCAGCAGCATTGGAGTGGTACATGTACTCTGCCGCCTGGGGCAGTAGCATGTAGCCCAGTAATATTGTATGTAGTCAAATATCAATTTTTTTCTTTTAATTTTTTGAGATAAGTAAAATGTCAATTTTAACCCGGCTAAAAATAGAGAAATTTTTTTTCCAATGAAATTTTGACAGAAAAGTGGCCGGAAGGACCATTTTTGCAAAAAAATTGATAGTCGTGGACTAAAATTGCAAGGTTCAAAAGTCATGGATCAATTCTGCCAGTGCCACTATAGTCGTGAGACTAAAAGTGCAAAAAACTCCACATTTTTTAGTATAATAAAAGTCAGGGGTTTGACTCATTTCCTATGGCTTCGACACTACCACTTTTTTAATATTTAACACACACACACACACACACACACACACACACACACACACACACACACACACACACACACACACACATATATATATATATATATATATATATATATATATATATATATATATATATATATATATAACATTCTTTTATATTAATAATAAGAAGTGTAATTTATAATGTGTTTTATATTCAAATTATTTTATCAAATTAATTATGTTTCATATTTTGTTATGTATATTTTTATAAAGTTTCGATGTTTTTTTTTGCCCATATTTAACAATATTTACGACTATATTAAGTAATTTATTTATTTTTTTAAAATTATCTTTTTTGTTTTAATATTTCGCCTTTACTGAAAAAAAATTCTGAATCCATCCTTACTTCTTCGCTCCCCTCAATAGAATTTTTGGCTCCGTCTATGGACTCAGATTCACCTTGCAAGGTGGACCAGGATCCACTTAACAATCTGCCGGAAGTTCAACACTGTTGTTAAAATTTTAGTTAAACACCAAAAAATGATTAATTCACAGTTTACTAACATTAAAGGAAATCCTTTCAAGAAAAAAAAAATTAAAGGAAAAAAACTCAATAATTTTATATTTTCACTAGGAATTAAATAGTTACGATTTAATAAAAAAAAATAGGGGTAAAAAATACAAAACTTGAACTATTTTTAAATTTTTGTGGTTTAGATATTATTTTGTAATGTATATTTTCTATTTAGCTTGTTTGGTGATTATAAAACTAGACTATAATAGTAGTCTTTGAAAGTTGAATTTTAGTTGATAAACTGAACCGCGCAACTTACGATCCAAGAATATATATTCTGAAGATTAAACATTTAAACACAATTAAAAGGGGCGTTCCGAGAATCGAACTCGGGACCTCTCGCACCCAAAGCGAGAATCATACCACTAGACCAAACGCCCGTTTGTGTTTCATTAATGCTCTTTAAATTATTAATTTACAATTCATTCTAATAAGGGAGAACTATTGAATTACATTACATAAAATTAGGTTTTAATTTCACAAAAAATATTATTGAGTTTAAGATATTTAGTGTGCATTTTTTTTTAGTCTAAACAATAAGATTTTATATTAAAAATATGATAGAGTCGTGTGCATATACAATATAAAGCACATCTATTACAAAACTAATTCTTTAGCAAAATGTGTACAACTTCACTTGATTAACAAAAGAAGTTGAGACTTGAGATGAAGAAATTCAGCTGATGCAGCGCTAAGGCATCATCCATCAATTTTTTTTTTTAATAACCTAGGTTTTCCAATTTCTTTAAATTATATCTTGAATTTCACAAACTCGTCTCGAACTCTTAAAAAAATAAATTATTCATCAAATTCTCAATATAGTATATATGATGTGCAACAAAGTATTCACCCAACCTTCAATCCTCCAAAGCATCTATAACTAACTACTATGCACATTCATGATTTGTCCTCCAATAATAACACTACTATCATTCCAATCCACCTCACTATTTTATAAAATCTAATTAAAAACTATCTTAAAATGAGAGTTGTAGAGAATTTTACTTGCATGTTCAGTTTTTATAAGTTTAAGAAATAAGGGTCAAATAGGTCACTCAATTGTACACCAAATTGTAATTAGGTCATCGAACTCAAAATAATGTAATTGAGTTCGTGAATAATACAAACTCATACAACTTAACCTAAAATGACATGTTTACCTAAAAGTATGTTGATATGGCGGTTATCAATTTAAAAAATATTTTTTAAAAATTATTTTTAAAATCGATAACCGCCAAATCAGGTAAGCATGTCATTTTCGATTAAATTGCATAAGTTTGTGTTATTCAAGGACTCAATTGCATTTTTTTTTTTTTTTGAGTTTCATGATATAATTACAGTTTGGTGTGCACTTGGGTGGCCTATATGACCCTTATTTCTAAGTTTAATTTATTCTATTTTATATGAAACTTTTTTTTTAATACAAATAAAAATTCCAAATAGTTTTCATTAGCTAATGATACTAATGGGACTTACACAAGAGTTTGAGCTCATTCGATAGAAGGAGGTGGGGGGTAGGATTGACCACCCTCAACACTACACGCGCCCACTGAGCGCTATTGGTGTGTGTTGCTCTGTTTATTTATTTATTTTATTCGGTAGGACCCACATTAGGAGACAAAAACTCACCTCTTCTACAAGCACATTTATCTTCTCTCTCCAATGCTCTCTCTTCCACATAAGATTAAAAAGCTGTAAAACCTTTCCTAAAACTCTATTGTGGTTGCTCTAATGACATTAATGTCACAATAATAAAGTTAATCGATCAATTTTAACATACTTTATCTATATCAGTTACAACCTGTCAGTCAATCTATCGCTAGGATCACAATTGATGCTATTCAAGTGGTTAAAAGCACTAAGCTACAAGCTAAGGTACTTGTTCAAGCAGTAGAGCTGAGTTCAAATTGCACCTCCCCAATCTTCTATTAGATGCATTCATACATTTGCTGGAAGGACTTTTCAAAGCATGAAAGAAGAGCTGAAGTAGATAGCTCTGGCGAAGTTCATAAAAATTCAACTACTTGGTTGCTCAAATATTTTCTTTTTTACCTTTGCCAAGCTCCTCTCTTGTCGAGAATCCATACATCCCTAATCAGTATATGGACAGCTATCTCTCTTGCACAAGTTGAGATTCGAGACAAAATGAAGTACTTAACAACACATCTTTACAAACCAAGAACTACGACATTAACCCTTTTATTATGAGGCGACGGAGGAATCATAGATCCGTGACACAATCCCTGCCCAGATCATATCATGCACCCAAAAGAGTGGGTTAAAAGCATTTGGAGTGTAACAAACAAGCTATATATATAAACTGTAAATATTTTTAAAGGTAGCAGTACAACCCCAGGATCTAACATACAACAATACAAGGGATTGTAAATGACACAGGTAACTGATGGTTCACACAACTATATATATATATATATATATATTGTGCTTATTTCAGATGGAAAGCCTATATACATGCATATAATATAGTGCTTTATTCAGACTCACTATCAACATAATTGTTGGTTATATTGTTCAGAGATCATGGTCTCGATTGAACTCGATCTCTATCAAGCAGTAGTCGCATCACTTGGCAATGTGCTTGCACGTTTTGCCTCATAATCCTTTACGGCAGCCTTTATTGCATCCTCAGCGAGCATGCTACAGTGGAGTTTAACGGGAGGGAGAGAGAGATGTTTTGCAATTTCCCTGCAAATATTATTGAAATAACACCAAGGAATATATATTAGCATTAGTCCTAAAATGTCTCTCTAGTCCCTTCGTGCTTTCTCTTGTAATTTCTAAGAAATTGTTTGACTCTTAAACATAAAGAGTATCAATATATCTAGTAGACTTATATATATGAAACAAATATGTGTGAGCAAGCCTGTACACTAATATAAATCATCCATCTTCCGAAACAAATGAATATATTACGTTATTACAGTATAAAATACTAATGAAGGAAAAAACAAAACTTACGTATTCTTGATGGATAGCACTTCCTCCATTTGCTTTCCCTTCACCCACTCTGTTGCTGAAAATGAGAAACACAAGGTTAGTAAACTGCCGTAACCAAAAAGGGCAATTGCTTGGTACAATTGAATAAGATGAACTGCAAAATTGAAAGTTTGAAGAACTATCGGTGACAAGGAATGTCTCGGGAAAAAACCCCACAAGGATTTATGTGTAAACAGCCCAAAAAGCTACCTCTGCAGCACACATTCAGGTGATCGAAAGGTCAACAAAAAGACAAGCACACACTTATGAGATTAACAGTAGGAAAACTATTGCGTTCCCATGAATTCAACTGCAATTCCGAAATGAAGCTCATTCAGGTTGATTGCTCGATTCTACCGATATAGCCTTTAGAAGTTCAAAACCAGCAATGATCAATATATTTTGGATAAACAACTTCAAATAAGCCCATTTGAGATAAATATTGAGTACTTTTTGGCAACAGCCTATTGGTATTCACCATTTTACCCGGCCTTCGAAAAACTCTTATCAAATTATTTTGATAGGCTCCTTAAAATAGATTATGAAATTATGGCCAAAACAGCTATAAGCTCCCAAACACATTAAGAAGAAATTTAACACAAGTACTTGTAGTATTAGATAAGCTAAAAATAAGTTCATCCAACTAAGCCTAAGAGGCTAAGACCAACACACTAGTAAAACACCCATTCAACTAATCATTAACCATGGCAGCAATATGGCGAATATACTCCATGAATGTTAAGAATGGACTCATATGGCTATCTATCTACTTCAAATGAAAATCTTCTAAATAAATCAAATTAGTGCCCAGTGTTAGTAAAACAAGCCTTCATTGTCAAAATGATTCCCTTCATTGCATAGAACCACTCAAATCTTTTACTTGAATACTAGTTAACCCTCTGAATGCTTAACAGGTAGAATAATACTCAGCCACAGCCTACAGGCCTATAGTTCTATCATCTTGAAACCTTGAAGATGAAAACACACTTCATCATCTTCTAAACAAGTAGAATTTCAAACCACCATGGACCAGGGTCCACCTTGCATTCTGAACATTTTACAAAGTGATATTCAAATTATGTGTCAACAATTAACATATTATATGCCTATAAATGAAGTACATAAACACATAATGGGTTAACTACATATACATAATATGTAAATTGTAGTAGTCACATAATTTATTAACGAAAGGTACATAATATATCAATTGCAAACAAATAATTGTTTTGGACCGGGGCCATGGTATAATCATCAAAACGCATTCTTTTATGGATAGACAACACAGAGTTTCGATTTGTATATTCCAATGAAGACAAGATAGCATTTTCATCACAAACTGCCTATGGCCAAATCAATTTTGTGTTATAAATTCACATCAAATAAACAGGAAAAATAAAAGGAAGTATTCAAATTCAACCAAATAGGAATTTAGAGGGTTAGGAAACAGACCAACAGATGAGGAAGCGATAGCAGAGCCACATCCGAAGGTCTTGAAACAAGCATCGACGATCTTTCCAGTCTCATCATCGACCTTAATCTGGAGCTTCATCACGTCGCCGCAGGCCGGGGCGCCGACCAACCCCGTGCCGACCGTCGGGTCATTCTTGTCGAAGGAGCCAACGTTGCGGGGGTTGTTGTAGTAGTCCACCACCCTCTCGTGGTAGAGCCGCGGCAAACCCACCGCCCTTTCCGCCGCAATTCGCTGGGAGCCCAGCCCTAGAACTCTGTTCGATAACTGCCTAAACATTGTTCTTCGATTTTTTTTTCTTTTCTTGATTGATTGCGTTTAGAGGAATGAAATAGAGAGCTTGAGGAATGTGAAAGTGGCGTATAAAATACGTCCGGGGTATAGATAAGGCGGTGTGTGGCGGTGGACGGAGGTTCTGATTATCTAATAGAGAGTGTGAAGGGATAGACAGAGACCCAGACCCAGATGCCCGGCATCAAATACAACCATATTCTCTCTTCCTTTGGCGGCAGACATGGGCTTTCCGGTCAAGGGTAAAAGTGTCAATTTAGACCATAGAAGTGTTTGGTAAATTGTGGATTAGGCAATAGTTCCATGTTTGGTAAATAGTGTTTAGGCTATAATTTTACCACTCACAAAAATATCATCCGCAAGTTCTAATAGTTTTTTATTTTTTCTAATAGTTGGATTTCGAAAAAGAAAAAAAAAATGATTAAAGTACAAATAAGCCACTGAACTATTTGATAAACATCAATTAAGTTATCAAACTAAAAAATTCCCTAAATAAGTCATTAAACTCGGAAATAAAGAGCAAATAAGTCATTGAACTTGAAAATAAAGAGTAATTAACATTTTTAATAAGCTATGCCAAATATTTATTTTATTTACATTATTATTATTATTATTATTATTATTATTATTATTATAATCATCATCATCATCATCATCCATTTGGATAGTATTATATATTGGAGCTGCTTGCCACACTAAAAATAAGTTTGTTGTGAGTGATAGATATAAAGGCGTATAACATTATCTTAAATACGGAGTAAATAGTTTTATTGGAACTCGCACTTTTCATTGTCAAGAAAGGAGCCATTTGCAAGCATATATCAAGTTATGGTGTTGCTTAGGCTATTCTTCTCTCTGCAAATTTATCTCACTTTTTAAAATGGGTCTCACATCGACATTATCAAATTTATAAATTCTCAACGTACTATTTGTTCTACATCCCTACAAATCTCTTTCACTTTTAAAAATAGGTCTCACTTTTATATTATATTATAAATATAATAAAAAAATAATAAAAGAAATATGCAGAAGTGTCAAATAGGTCCATCTACTACTGCGAAGTGCTCAATTCTCACCGCGAACTAAATTAAAGTCTAATCAACCACACTTACCAGCTAAATTTGTTCGATTGACTTTTTTACAGGTTGCTAACCGGTTGCCTATTCAATTATTAAAAAATTAAAAAATTAAAAAAAAAAAAAAAAGGAATTTCAGTCACCAGCTGTCCGGCGATGACAGCCGGTGGCTACGTATTTCACAGACTGCTGCCGGTTGCCCGCTGGAGAGAGGGCAGTTGGGCAGCGGGTAGGTGGCGGGTACCCATGCCCCCACCTATCCCCCACTGATACACATGCAACTTTTTGGTCCCTGGATCTCTCCTAGAACCCGAAACCATGTCCAGACACATTCCAACACATAACGACAACACCACGGATTCAATAAACGAAATTAAACCAAGAATCATTCCAAATACATTCTAACACGATTCCTAAGCATGCCAAGACTCAACATTAATTCATATAACGGTTCAGGAGCATCCGGAACCTCAAGAACATCAAGAAATCTATATGTAAAGCTCTAACGATAAGTCCTAGGCTAGACTCAACACCCGATCATGCATAAACCCACCCAGATATACCAAGAACATCACAACAACGAGATTCACGATATAACCCTAGGGACAAGCTCTAGACATAATTAAAATACAAGATCACACATATAATCAATCACAATATCAAGAACATCAAGATTATCAAATAAACACAATCATAAACTCTAGGCAAAGCTCTATCAAGACTCAAGCACAGAATCATACATACGATTTTCAAAGGAGCCAATGAATAAGATATAGCAAGAAAAATAGGTTTTGTAAGACATGTGTTGTAACACCCCTAAAATTTAAAACTTTTTAAGACTTATAATAGGAAGATAGTTCTATTATTAAATCCCAAACAGAGCATTCTAAACATAAGAGTCTGGGGTGTTATGTCACATCTGAGCTGGAGAACTCAGATGCACAGGCTGCACTATCTAAATATCCTCAAAATAGAGTCAATACATCAACATGGCACGCAGGCCGAAAGGGAAACTAGCTAACTAAGCCTTGGTCCTCTAGCACGCTCCGGAGCTTACTCATCTGTGCCTGAAAGCTAAATATATCTGTTCAGCGAATAGCCGAATAATGCTGGTAACCCACTTCAACGCGTTAAAATACTATATATATATATATATATATATATATATATATATATATATATATATATATATATATATATATATATATATATATATATATATATATATAGGAAAACCATTTTGGAGCAGGAAGATATATACTTAGGAGACTCTAGCTTTAAAACCAGGAATAGACTCGACAAGTAGGGATAAGCACATTCAACAGTTATAATCAAGCATGTAAAGACACTAGCATATATCCTAAGGTCACAAGTTTATTTCACATTATCCATATTGTCATTCAATCATTATCTTATCACATAAGCACACTTTGGTGGCGCCACAGGACCAATCGCATGCCCATACATTAGGGTCAGCGCATATAGCGCTAACACGGCCCCGCAGCACCCTGCCTCGTACCGCAGCACGAAGGGGTTGACCGTAGCTAACCGATGAACCGCAGCTCATCATAACGTTTGACCGCAACCAAACGGTGGACCGCAGCCCAAAAGTGTATTTCTGATCGCAACCAGATTATGAACCGCAGCTCATGTAAAACGTTTGATCGCAACCAAACGGTGGACCGCAGCCCAAAAGTGTATTTCTGATCGCAACCAGATTATGAACCGCAGCTCATGTATAGCCAATTTGATCGCAACTAAATTGGGGTATCATGCACACATAACACATAGCAAGCACATGCAACCCACATTAACACATTGGGAAAGGGGAGAAAACGTATAATGAAACCTATGTGTGGTCATCCACATACTAGGAATAATCCTAAGAGGTTCATACTTCTTTCACCTAGGCCAATGTGGTACCAATTCAACTAGCATGCAATATACAAGACCCTTTTTATCCTAAGAACGGCACCCGAAACATCAAACTAGACTTAGGCACGATAAACGGAGTCCGCTGGGACACCATGAGGGTCGGGGAAACATCAAACGGGGAAACCACCATCCCAAATTGGGAAATTCCAGCGGGTAGCCCACTACCCGCCAGCTGCCCGTCGGCGGCGACATGCCGGGCAGCGGGTGCCCGGCGGGCAGTCGCCTGCCCGCTGGCTGCCCGCTGCCGGCAACGCCTTTAGGGGCAGCGGGTAGGTGGCGGGTTCCCCTACCCCCACTGACTCTTTTTCAATATAATGGTCCCGGGATCTTTTGTGGAACCCGGAACCATGTTTTGACACTTTTAAACATAAACTACGACACCACGCAGTCAAATAATGGATCAAAACCAAGAATCATATTGAACACATCCTAACATGACTTCTAAACATAATTAACACCCGAACATGCGAAGTCCCACCCAAATATATCGAGAATATCACAATACGAAATTCCCAATTTTAACCTAGGGCTCTAATCATATTCAAATCATCAAAATCATAGTTTATCTTTAAAATCAAGAACATCAAGATTTATCAAGAACATCACACCATTATCAAGATCCTCTTATAATCATCAAGATTATCAACATCAACACATAAGATCATCTCATCAATCATCAAGATCATATCATCATCATCATAAAAGATTTATCAAGACACAAGCATAGGGAAGGAGCTAAAGAAGAAGATTATAGCAAAGAAAATAGGTTTTGTTGAGACATGAGTTACCTCTTAGCCTTAATTAGATTCCTTGGCTATTAAGGTTCTTTCTCTAAGATCTCCTCTTCTTGATTTCTTCTACGTTGGTGATAGGGGAATTCTTGTGTGGTGATATCTATTGTGGTGTCAGTTCTAGGTGCCTCCTATGTCCTTATATATATATATATATATATATATATATATATATATATATATATATATATATATATATATATATATATATCTAAGAGTCCTAATTAGGGTCTGAATGATATGGGTTTACTAATTCTATTTCTTATAGGACTAAGGGTTTGGTTTAGGGATAAGGGTCCATGACTTATGATGGACCCTTCTTAATTAATTAAGGGAATTAAATCCCCTTTTAAGGGTAAGTAATTAAGTAATTAGTTTGGTTTAGAGGCCGTAACATGGTGTATTACACCCTCCCCCCCCCCCCCCCTTACAAGAGGCTTCGTCCCCGAAGCCGGTGCGTGGATCCATTCTTTCACCCCTGGACGTCACGTATTTTGGCCTCCTGATTAGGATTTGTGGCTTCACGTGTCGCTTTACTGGAGGTAGGATGGAGCTTGGTGCGGTGGTGTTTGGGAAAGTTTGGGTCTACCTTGGTTTCCTGCTCCCGAGCTAGATGCCCCGAGTGTGCCCAACATGGTCTCCATTGCTGCCACTCTTTGATCTAATGCGTGCGTTACCCGGGTTAGGGACGAGAACCCTTCATCCATGATTTGGTTTTGTCGGGTGAGTTGCGCGAGGATGCGCTCATTGACGGATCCTTCATTTTGGCCTTCCGAATTCTCTCTCTCTTGTGCGGGTGCAGGTAGGTTAGGCTCGCTATCTTCCTCTTGTTCCTCTCATTCTTTCTGTTCCCCACACTCTTGCATTGCCCGTTTTAGTTTCTTGTTGGAGATTTCCAACTGATCAACCAACTCTCGTCGTTTTTCCGTGGACTTTAAACAAACCTCCTCGAGAGTGATGTATTGTCCCTCTCCGATATGGTAGATGTCGTTGCGGCGGAGGTTCTGAGTATTGAAAATCATCCCGCTCACGGGTTTGATTTCTGTGTGGCTTAGGTCCACCCCTTTCTTTTCCATGATCCAACTTAGGATCATTCTGTAGGGTAGACTAAGCCGGTTGCTAGCCTTGCAAAATTCCATGTGTTTTAGCATGAGGGCGGGTAGATTGAACTTGACTTTGTGTTTTAGAAAATAGGCAAAGGTGCACTCTAGGCTCCCCACGTCCTTGCTCTTGTTATTCGTGGGCAACAGGCTGTCCGTTACAATCATGACTAGCAATTTCTGTTCGGCGGTTAGCTATTTCCTGTTTGGCCGGGTGGCCAGGTGAAGCCATCTTCCTTCCTTGTAGGTACCCGAGGTAATCCTTATACCCCGTGCCTTGGGTACCGATCCATCCCTTCCGGTCATAGTCCGACACACCCGTGGTGGTCAGTTTTAAGAGTTT